GCACGGCTCCGCAAGACTCAGAAGCCCTCAGGTTAAGCGTTAGAGGACCGTCATTATCTGAATCTTCCGGGTAAATTTAGAAATTAAAATCTATACTTTCGCTTTCTATCTTTCATTGCTAATATTGTAATTGCCTTGAATTTTTCAATTTTGAAGATTTGCATTTTTCTCTTCTTATTGCCGAGGTGAGGCTATTTTTCCTAGAAAGCGATTCTTTTATTTTTTAAGCTTCGTTCTTTTCTAGATTTTGACTCGGTAGAAGATTACCATGGTCTTTGTTATAGATGCATAAGATTCTTTATCTTCTTACTTTATACCTGGTTATTTTTTTTTTCTAACTTCTTCTTTCTTTAGGTCTAGTTGAGTACACTTCTCTTAAAGACTTCTCCATTTCAGCATTTCGAATGGATTAGCTCTTGATCTGTCATTGCCATGGCTCTTCAAGCTATGGGTCTTGTCTTTAAAGATAAGTACTAGTCATTTTTATTTTTGTTTTATTACCAATTTAATTCAGTAATTCTTTTAGAATAATACAGAAAAAGCAGTGAAACTTGATAATAGAAGATAGAACTGGCTCAATATTTGTGCAGGTTGGGATTAATAACTTTCTTGAGGGTAATAGAAGTCTTCTTGGATCTTATTTTTTTTCCGGAATCAATACTGTACTAATTTTTATTCTTATAGAGTCTGAGATGAACAAAAACGGTTTGGTGGTGGATATGGCAGATGAGGCGTATAAATTGTCTTCTCAAAGTATTGTCATTATTACAGTATTAACATTTATTTTTATTAGATTAATGGTCAACAGAATTTGAAGATGAACATAGACGTAGAGCATAATGCTCGAGGTATTACAAAGTTAATGGGTATACAGAATTATTATAAGAGAAATTATAGATATTACAATGGTGAAATGTGGCATGCCTGCTGGATTGTTCGAGTGTTGGAAGAATTTTGGTCGTGATTTTGAAGAAATTTTAAAGCAATAATATTGCAATAAGTAAATTGAATACATCAATATATGTAGTAGAGATACAACGAAAATTATGTAATAAAACCTAATTTATTATTACCAAACATATTTTTCAAGCAAATTTATTCTACAACTCGCTAAATTCAAAAGATATTTTTCCTTTTTAGTTTATATTATAAACATATCTCAATATGCCTACTCTTATTTC